CACTCAGAATCATGGTCTTCAACTAATTAACACTGTTTGCCACTCTCCTCATCCTCCGAATCTCTTTCTTCTTAGGTATTTTGTTAGGTAAATGTTTAGCCACATCTGCTAGCAATGAATGGACTAAAGGTGCAGCATCATCTACAAGCTTATAAAAATTCTAATTCAACGCTTATAAAAATACTTGCCTTGTGCTATGAGTCTTAAACAAATCTTTGGCTTGTAAAATACTTGTGGCTTATAAAATACTTGCCTTGTGGCTTCAAAAAGAAAAAGAAAACAAATCCTAATTCAATTAGGCAAGTATTTTCTGAGCCACAAGGCAAGTATTTTATATGCGATGAATTAGGATTCAGTTTTCAAGCAGCTTCCCAAACTCTCTAACTTGGGTTTGTTTTCTTTTTCCTTAATTCTATTAACAGTTCAATTCGACTTCAAATGATTTTAAGCATTGAAATTTAAATCGAATTATTTCTAAGCTATTTGGTTGATTTAGAACCTAAACATTGACCAAATCAATGGTTTGAAAATAAGGATTTCAGTTCGATTTTGTAATTTGAGAGTTTTTTATTTTTTTTTAATGTCAAGAAAATATATAAGAGACTCATTTGCTAATAAGGCAATAGATTGAAGACAAATACTGTAATTTCCTCCAAAAAAAAAAAGAATAATAATTTAGGACTTCAGCTATAAATTCACTGCTTTCAATCAATCTTGAGGTAACACTTGTACAGTGTCACCCAAGCTTGCACAGGATAATCAGCATTCGCATTTCTATATATGATCAAGTACTGAAGTATAGCTGATCAGCAGTTACTTGTACAATGTTACAATGTTATCAAATGTACTTTATATGTAGAAACTAACTGATACCAATTAACAGTAGAATATTGATTTTCATGATAAATTTCCAGGTCAGCAGGTAGAAGAAGACGAAAGACGGATAAAGCAATGAGTTCGAGAAGTTATGAACCGGATCCAGAACTAGAACCAGAACAGGCAAGGGTCGATCGACCAGAGTTGTCTCGTACAGGTTTGTGCCTACCTTTTGATATTCGTGTTTATAAACAAGTCGTTGTTAAATATATATAGTATATTTAATTTAATTTGAAATAAATAATTAAATTGGGATAATTGGTTGAGTGGTAAAATTTGAAATTTATGTGGGATTTAGATTACACAGTTCAAACCATACTCCACCAGTCTATTATTTGACTTAGGTTTCTTTGACTAAAATAAATATTTTATTATTTTAAAATTCAGATTTCAATCTAAATCAAAGTCAACAACTAATTTTAACTACACATTTTATGGGATTCACAACTTTTTAACCACACATTTCATCAACTTTTATCAAAATCTTCTAAAAATCTGATTTTAATCCCTAGCAAATAAGGGCTAAATTTTAATGGTTGTTCTAAAAAGGTTCGTGTAATTAATTTTCTACAGCCTCAACATCAGATGTTGTCGAGGCACCAGCCGTTGAGCTACCAAGCATGCATAGCGAAGTTGAAGTCAGAGTGGAAAATCCAATTTCCAATGCGAATGCTGAACAATGTAAGTTTGTGATTTTCTTTTATTTTACAAGTTCTAGAGTTGATCAAATATAGGGTAAGTGTATACTTTATCCGGCGACGAAGTGGTGAGCCTATGTTATTTATGAAGACAGCCACGTCCGAAGCACATTAAAGAAAAACAAATTATAAAATTTTCCAGTTGGGACTATATATATGACATCAAAGCCAAGTGATGAGGGAGGGAGAGGTTTCATTTTGGTTCTACGCAATTTTATTTCGTCCAATTTTTCACGATTTTCCCTACCAAAAATCATCCTTACCAACCCTCGTTGTTATGATTTGAACAAATTACAGCAGTAATGAGATGGATTTTTAACAAACTGCAATGTAAAGTAAATATTAATATTTGATTATGTGAGTGGATTTGGTTTAATATGTGGAGCATCTTCCACTTTCAACACATATCTGATAACAGCATCAGGGGGAGAAAAGGAAGGTCGTCGTTTAATATTATTTAAAGCTGCTTTAAGAGGAGATTGGAAAGCTGCTGAACGTGTTCTGAGATCGGACAAAAGTGCAGCTTCTCTTTTGATAACAAAAAGACGAGATACGCCTCTTCACATAGCTGCTCTCGCCAAGCAAACTGTGATTGCCCACATGCTAGTCAAATACTTGAACGAAGGAGACCTGGAAATTAAGAACAAAGATGGAAATACAGCTTTCTGGTGTGCAGCTACATCAGGGGTTGTAGAAATTGCCAAGGTCATGTACGAAAAAAATAATAATCTGCCAACAATTCGAGGGGAATCCGGCACGACCCCAATTGAAGTGGCAGCTTGGAACGGAAAGAAAAAAATGGTTGAATATCTTTACGAAATTACGCTTCTTCGGGATTTCGGGGCCGCGGAGCGCATGAATATTCTTGTTGCAACTATCAACAGTGAAATGTATGGTACGTACGGTAACCATGACTTCAAGATAACAATGAAAATTACGTTCGCAATATTGATTTTCCTATGTGCAGATATCGCATTAAAGATATTTAAAGCAGATGGAAGTATAGTTACTTCTTCTCCAGACGTCTTCAAGAGAGGACTTGCTCTACACGTGTTAGCACAAAAACCTTTTTCATACTATGGTACAAGTCAAGAATGGATATGTGAAAATCTCGTCCCTTATGTTCCCTGTAAGATTATTTTATTTCATTATTAACTTTCAACTAACAATAAATTAATTAAAAAATCGACCTGAATTTCTAGTTGGTCCACTTGGAAATATTAATTGAACTTTTTTATGCACAGTGTTTTGTATTTCTGTTTTGATTTGTTTTTTTTTTTTTTTTGTCTTCTGATGATTAATTAAGGTCACAAAATTATTAGAATATAGATTATTCTATTTTTTCAAAGTAACTCCTAGCAAATACTAGTTTAAAGTCCGTGATTTATGTGTGAATGATCAATATATAGATTTATTTCACTTTTTCCTCAAATTTTTTTTTTTTTAGCTATGTAATTAACGTGAATTTTAGAAATAATTTAACGAAGATTTGTAGGTTTCAAAAGGATATATGGTTCAATTCAAAAGCGGAGACAAGCCGGTCAGTTGGTAAAGGAGCTTTGCGAACAGATTCTGACTTTAGAGGAAGACGAAATTTTAAATTTATTTATGTATACTCCTATTCTCGCTGATGCTGCAAAAATTGGGAATGTTGAGTTTTTGACTCTGCTAACTCACTCATATCCTGATCTTATGTGGATAGTCAACTCAAAAAGAGATGAGTACACCATATTTCATTTTGCAGTTATTAACCGACAAGAGAAAGTCTTTAGTCTCATCTACAACACAGGAGGTATAAAAGATGCATTGTTGTCCTTCAGCGATAATTCCAAAAACAACATTTTGCACTTGGCCGCGAAATTAGCACCACCAAGCAGGCTCAATATTGTCTCTGGAGCAGCTCTTCAAATGCAAAGAGAGCTACAGTGGTTTAAGGTGAGAAAATAAAATGACTACCAAATCCCCTTTCTTTTTCCCCTCCAAGAGAAGAGAAACACTTTATAACACGACGGTGAATTGTATCATTTTTTGTTTATCTTGAATATATATCCACGTTCATAGAAGTCTCCAATCCACTATTCTACGTAATACAAAAATTAATTCCCCGTGTTAGAGTTAAATTTTGGATGATTGTGAAATATACATTAATTTGAGTACTCTTTATAGGAGGTGGAGAAGTTTGTACTACCTTCTTTTGTTCAGATGACAAACACGGAGGGCAAAACGCCTAGGGAGTTGTTTACGGAGGAGCACGAGAAGTTACGGGAAGCCGGTGAGGATTGGTTGAAGGACACAGCAACTTCTTGCATGGTTGTGGCAACCTTAATTGCCACGGTTGCGTTTGCTGCAGCCTTTACCGTACCAGGTGGAAATCAGGAAGAAAAAGGCACTCCAATTTTCTTGAACAATAGGTGGTTCACAGTTTTTGCTATATCTGATGCAGTGGCAATGTTTAGCTCGACAACTTCCATAATGATGTTCTTGTCTATCTTAACTTCACGCTATAGAGAAAATGATTTTTTATTTATCTTACCGGCAAAGTTGATGGTTGGACTAATTACGCTCTTTGCTTCAATCGTTTGCATGGCCTTAACATTTAGTGCAACTTTCTTTTTGGTCTACAAGGAAGAAAAGGAAGGGACATTGCCAAAAATTGTTGCTGGTCTTGCTTTGCTTCCAATCACTTTATATGCAATGCTAAATAGTAGGTTATGGATTTCCCTAATCCACTCAACCATCTGGGCGTCAAGGTTTATGTTTCGACCGGGTAAGCACAGGCTTTTCTAATAAAACGAGCTACAATACTAGTTATTGTGTCTGTTGTTGTTACTAAGAAAGTGGAGAAGCTTTGTTGTTAGTTGTTACTTTGTCGTTATTGTATTTTCTAATAAAAGGCTTAGTTTTTCGAGTGCGAGAGAAGTGGAGAAGCTTTCTATTTCTTAGTAATCAGTCTTGTTATTCTTCTGTATATATTTATATATAAATATTGCAACTATCATTACGGCACAAATTAAATCAAGTGGAGAAGTCCACGAGAAACATCAGAATTCACATGCCTCAATAAAGATTTATTTCTCTTTTCCACAAATTAGACCACTTGGTTTGTTACCTGAAGCAATAGTAATCAAATATTAGATTATGGCCTCATGGATGATGATAAATTCAAGTACTTAATTTACCTGAAAAATGTCAAGCTGGATAGTACACAAATGTTTCTTTGGAGTTTCTTCAGAACTTCCTAGGAAATGCCAGTTTCCATGTCTGGGCTTATGTGACACATTTGATTTATTTTTTCTTCAGCAATTATGTAGGTTACTCTTAGATTTTGTTTTTCAAAATTTAAGGGGTTGTAATGCAAATGTCGTTAATTTAGCGAAGAATTCTGGTTTCAAAATGATACATAGTTCAAATGTCGGTGAGCATTACCAGACTCCACATTATAAAACTAATTCAAGAGACATTCATGATGCTGCGAAAATTGGGAGACTGCGAGCTTGGATTTTGTTGTTATTGTGTTGAATATTTTATACTTACTCGACACATATATATTATTTTATTGTCGAACATATATACATAATTTCTAGACATAACTTTGAATAAAATCAATATATATTTATGTTTCAGATGAAATTATCAATTATATATCAATGGTAATCACTTTCACACATTTCTGAGGATTATCCCAACAATGCTTCGCTGTTGTAACTTTAAAAAATTTATTTTTTTTTATAGTTTTTATGTTTTAAGAGATATTGACAATTAAGAAAAATAATTATTTTTCTTCTTTCCTTACAGTACTACTGACTTATAAATTATTTTTATTGTGTTTGCGACATTATTTTCGATTATTATTAATTTTATATTTTATTCATTTATTTGATGACGAATTTTCTTTGGTAAACTAAATTTGTTAAACTAATCATCCAACTTACATAACTGATGATTACAGAGGGGTTTCCAAATAGAGCAACTCAAGATTTACATTGGTCGTTAGGGACAATTTATGAATGAACAAAACTGGACATAAATATTGCCAAAATTTAATAACATTGTTTCTTGATGATGAAAATTATATACAAAATTTACTCGAATATGTTATTTGAATGATATAGGACCTGACCTTGAAACTGCAAATCTAGGCAACGGACTAGGTCCCGTGCTGCTTGCATGTTGAGCCTGCGACAAATTTTGTCTTGTGACTCGAGCTATAATCTAAGGGCCCAGATCGCCTAGCATTGCGATGTTTGATGTCTGTACTCCTTGTGCTACCATTTTCAGTATCATACTGATCTTGACCACGAGTGGATGAAGCCTTAAAATAACCCAAATCATTTACACTCGACTGTGGAGTAGAATCTCCATAAGGCTGCTTCGATGCAGGAGAAGCATGTACTAGTGACATGGCAGGAGAGTATCGGGGGGATGAATTAGATAATGCCAGTGGAGTCGAAGAATTCAAATAGTACTGACTGTATACTGCACGAAGGATGGCATAAGGTACATGAGATTCCAGTAAGATTCTCGGTAGGTAGGGAAAGAGCTCACATAATTGATCGAGGAAGATCAGCTTTGCAACCAAATTAGACCTGTGCAAATGAAGAAAACAAAAAACATTTAGAAAAAGTATCGCACGACAGAAACAAAATGTTATCAATTTTTCAAATGTCATTTCATGCAAATGGACAAGTATGGAAATCATTCTGAATCGGTTGATAAAAGTTTCAACCAATTAATACTGTTACTCAATATATTCGGCAGTTGAAATAAGATGCACCAGGAAAATAAAGGAGAATTATCATCTTAACCAGAAAATGTATTTGCCAATTAATATAGCATTTTACCAATATACCATAAGCTTACAAGCAAATATCATTGTCTTACCTATTGCTTTCATTCCAAGATTCCAAAATAATCCCGGCAGAGAACTTGATGAAGAGCTGCATTGTGGACTTTACGCATTACGCTAGCTTCTGCTGAAAAACTATTCTCTCTCTCAGGATCAAAGGTTTCGGTGACATGGCCATTCGAGAGTGTGTGTTTCTGTTGATACTCTCTTTCAAGTCTGACGAATCCACTACCTGCAATCACTGAAAATTCATTATCGAACACAGTAACCAACCAGCCAGCGGAGCAAAATATTAGAGCATATTTCCATTGTCAGCATATCATTACACTGACAATATCTGGTAGATTAACTACCCAAGGACGATTATTTTAAACACCTTGTCTGCCTTTTCCAGAACATATAAAATGAAATAATAATGGTAGTTCAGTAAAATAACTAGAGAAGATATTCCTGTTTGAGTGAGACTGTAAAAAAAGACTCCATTTACATGTAGTATGGAAAGCTTAATCACAGATTTCAACATAATCAAGATAAACAATTAACTGTTTAGTTAGATGTAACCATAAATATTCAAATATGACTGCATGAGGCAACTTCAATAGCAAAGAGCAGTGAACGGAGAGCAAAGATCACCTGATGTATCTAATCATTTTTTTTATTTCTCAGACTAAAACTCAAGTATTCGTACCTTGCCAAGCAGTGAACATTGTTGCTGAATCCTCCAGTGTCAACATTGAAGGCAGTAGTGTTCCAGATGGTAGATGTCATAAATGTCGCAAATAAATATGGCAACAAGTTCCATGAACCGTCACTTGCACCCCCCACTTCTTCCAATATTGATCGAACCCACTTAGAATCATGGTCTCCAACTACATTAACACTGTTTGCCACTCTTCTCATCCTCCGAATCTCTTTCTTCTCAGGTATTTTATTAGGTAAATGTTTAGCCACAACTGCTAGTAATGAATGGACTAAAGGTGCACCGGTGCATCTTCAAGCACAGAACCAGCAGCTTTTGCTAAAAGGTGTTGGAATATTTGAATCAAAGAGTGAAACTTACCGGATTTAAGATAATCTAACCGGTTTTAACACTCCTAACCGTTAAATTCAACTCACCAGATTTACACTCAAACTATC